AAAAAAAAAAAAAAAAAACACATCATAGTAAAACCAATACCTTCCCAGCTTCGCATCGAAGCTAAAAAATTCAACTCAGAAAAATGATTTCAGAATTATGTAAATGTAAATACACATAAAACTAATAAATTAAAGACGTGTTTGAGCTCAAAGAAATACAAGAAAAATTAACAAAAATACATTATGTAATAGTAATAGCTTTTATTTAACGTCTTAAAAATAAGATTTCGTAGTTAAAATAATTTTTTACAAAACAAAATTTTTTAATGAAATTTTGAAAATTAAGTTTTTTTTTTTTCGTAATATCATTTTTAGTAATGCACATCATTTTGTAATTTAATTTTTATTTTTATCTATATTTATATATCATATGGTAACAAATAATGTCTTTGAATTAAAAAAAATGAACTTTTTTATAGATATTTTATACTTTTTTAGAAATGGGGTCTAATAGACCCCCACGCGACTATTAACGTTAAAAATACGTACACGCCTGCTTAAGGGTTAAGATTAAAAAAAAATTGTTCTGTTGACTAATTCATTATGAGAAATTAGAAGTCAAAGTAAAAACATACTTTATTTAAAGTTTTTAATATTTCCACAAATAATAGTGGTAAATGACTAATTTTTACATTAAAATATGGAGAAAATCGTTTATAAACAGTTATAATATAGTTCTATGTAAACAGTTTAAATGTGTTAATTTTTATAAGCTCTTAATAAACTTAAAAGGATAAAAAAATAGGTTAAATATGATATTTTGAATCTAAATTTTGCACAGATTATTTTTAACAAATAAATGATTAAAATGTATTATACTTTAATAAAATAATTTTGTGTTTTTTAATAATTTCTTTATATGTAAAAATTCGTTTTTTTACTAATGAGCAAATACTTTAAAAATTAAAGCTGATACAAAAAGTCTAATAGCAGATTTGAAATCAAATTGGTTTAGAAAATTATATTTATCTCTGATTAAAATTTCTTGTTGAATTTCGAATAAATAACAACATATTATTTTCTGAATAGTCGGAGCCCTCTGGTTATTGTATCAACATCCTCAATTTTGTTACACGTTTGCCACAAGGTTAACGAAATATAGAACTATTTATATTATTTTTATCATACACATTTCTCTGCAGAATCCTTAATGAATACAATTTCAAGGTCTTTTTTTACCATATAAGTATTTTTTTTAATTTTTAAATATTTTTGAACATTTTTATAAACCCTCAAACCACAGTAGCTTATTTGTTACTCTCTCCTAAAGAGAGCACAGTTTAGACTTAATTCATTTTCTTTCCTTAGCCGGGTGTAGCTATTAGACCGCCGGGTCAAACGTCAGATGATTTGGTCGGAAATTAGCCATCGTCGGAACTAGTACGCTAATTATCGTCCGTAGCGTTAATGTTTTTTTTTTTTACGGTATTATACGTGAGTGTCTGCTACCGTAATATAATGTAATATTTTTGTATTTTGCCGTCGGCTGAACCTGTCTTCAGTTTCTGAGCCTTTTAGGGATGGTAATGTAAATTTTGTTAATACTTTGAGCCAGATTTTTTTTTGTTAGTTCGCCGTGCCAAAAGCACGTGTAGCAAATTTCTCATTAATTTTTTGTAGGTGTCCCTATGTTTTTAGGTCCCCCAATATGGCAGGCGTGTTACAATACCTCTTATCATATTATAAATATATTTTTTTTGTGATTTATTTTATATATATATATAGAGTGATTGATTAACTATGTCTAACAAATTATATGTGAATATATAAGAGCTATCTGTTTTATATTATTATTAAATATTATGTTTCTGTCTTGGGCTGCTGAGTAAGTAAAATTACATTTTTATGATCATCCCTTACGCTTTAAATCAGTATCAACTTTCAATTTTTAATTGGTAATTGTTGCACTATGACACTCCTAAATTAATGATTGACGCATGTCTTATTGTAATGTTTTTTTTCTACTCCCCTCTGTCCCTTTTTTATGTTGTGCATCACTAAGTACTTTTGGGATAACAGAGCTATGCGTGGGTTCAGTGGGGGCGCAGGAACGAAGCCCCTTCGAGCCAACATTTTTTGTTCTTTTTATGTTAGTAAAAACGTTTTTAAAAGTATAATATTTCATAAAGACTTTGGTAGGTTAGTGGTGATAAAAAAAAGTGCTACGTTTAATGAAGACTAGTGCTTTATTATTACAATAAATCCTAAAACTTTAAAAAAAGGAAACAGAAAAATATATAATAAAAAAATAAGTTATCTCAAAATTTAAATCAGTACAAAAAAAAATTAAAACATTTTCGTAGGAACTTTTCTTTGGTTTGCGAATCTTTTTAGTTATCATTTGCACTTATAAATATTCCCTTATACCACTCTTGTTCTTTCGCCTTAACAGTTTTTCTACCACCTATGAATTGCTGGACGAGGATTCCATTTAGCTTATGGAGGAAGATTAAAATAAACATATAGATATTCATTCTCGCTTTCAATACTTAAACTGCTTCTATTGCTGGTTTTCAACAAATTGTTTACACTAATCACTCTTTCAACATCAGCGGAATGAGGTTTTGCTGCAATAATTCTGGCCATTATAACAGAAACATTGGGAAAAAAATACCTGAAGAGTTTCTTTCAAGCTGATTTTTTTTATCTGCTCAATATTTTAATGATTGAGAAACTCTGAATATTCCATTAAAAGTTCAGCAAGATCTAAGTCGCTTCCTATCAATTTATGAACTGCTTTTATATCAACGGATGGCTTTAGCTCAGTGAATGGTTTAAAATTTTAACAGTATCCGCAACAATATCGAATCTCTCCTGCAAAAAATTTACAAGAGAATCCACAAGTTCATTGCAGATTGCGGAGTAGTCTCGATTCTGAGAAACAAACTTGTGATGTTCCTTTAAACGATGTTTTCAATATCTTGTTGAGACATCTCCTTTTAGTAAAACCTCATTTTATCTATGTATTTCCAACTGTTTTTTTAAGGTTGTCACCCATCCACTAAGGAACGCTTCCGTTTTTAATATGTTAAGCCTGCATATAACGTTCACGGTCTCTTTGTCCATGTTTAAAATTGTAATTGTATCAGACTGCAGTTTTTTCTGATATCTGCTGAAAACCATCAATACGTCTTCAATAAATGCTAGGATTTGTAGATTGTTATACTTGATTAAAAAAAGTCTGTATCCTCTTGCCTTTTTGTCAGGACAATCTTTTAAGAACTATACTAAAGCATTCAAAGAAACCAAAATTGAATTGATTAAATCAAACGAAAATTCGGACCATCGCACTTCAAATAAACGAGGCAACCACGAAAGAGTGCATTCATTTTTTTCGGCCGCCTGTTGGAGATGCTTGGTTCTGAGTATGAAGAGTTTAGAAATGAGCTTAATCCAACTAACTCTGAAAAAATATATTTCAACTCTCCAACACAATTACTACTCGATTTGAAAGCCAAATCCGATCTGTGTGCTGCACACCATATGGTAATCAAAGGAAGATTTGAGTTAATCTTTTACTTTTTCCTAAAGAGCTCCTACAACCCTGCTCTACAACCAGTGTTCACTGCTGCTCCATCTGTTACCAAAGAGGATGAAAATTCAAAAAGTTGTCTAGACATTCCTTCTCCTACAGTAGTATCGATGGCGTTCTCTATTGCACCAAGTATTCCCTCAGCACCTTGACAAGTTGGTTCACTTACCCAAGGAAATATTGAACTGATTTACCAGATTTTTTTATGACTTTTGCAAAAACATATATCTTGTTTATTTGCTTACGGTCCTCACTGCCATCACATCTCAAAGAAAACGATAAAATATTAGAGCTCAGAATATCTAACACACTATGATCACTTTTAATAATACAATGAATAAATTCTTTTTGTGCGGTTGCGGTCAAATATTGAAAATTTACGTCTTGAGAAACGCACGGGACACTCACATTTTTAACTTGAAACGATTGAGCAGCAATGGAAGTAATAACTCTTGATGGAAATAAGTAAGCATTGAGAGTAATTTTTTTGCGTCAGCATATGTATGTATCATTAATCCGCCAATTTTATTTGCTAGGTCCTCGTTCATTTGAATGAACATCTTATCCATAGTACATTCTTTTGTTTTTTCTGGTACTTTTAAAGTACCTAAAAGCTTTCACAGAATCCGAATAATATTTCTAAGAAATATGTTTTTCTATCGTATCGTTTCTAAATCTAGTACCATCTGTTTCTATCGCAGGCAATCGAGTCATTGTTCCATGAAACTTTACTATGTTTCGAAACATGTTGCAGTATTTACATTTTATATAGTGCTTACTATCTCGGCGATAATGTTCAAATGCCTGAGCATCGGAATTTTGTTTATTTGCTTCTGGTTTAGAAATTGGAATTTCTTGTATGAGGGTTTCACTTGGGTTTTCATTTTCCAAAATTTCCTCGATTATTTCTTTTTCTTTAACTGGTTCCGATAATTGAAAATCCTCAGAGGATGCTGAATTTTGTGTGGCTAAATTTGACTGTGTGGAACAACTTGCTTTATTTAGATTCAGCCAACTATACAAAGTAGTTGTTTTGCAAGATTTGTTTACATATTTTTGAAGAGATGAAGCCCGTTTAATTTTTACACTTTTTACTTAAGATAAGTATTGTCTTTTCTTGTATTATTTTTCACTTTTTATTAATATAAGTATATTATACATTAATTCACGTGAATTTAGTTACTGTAGTGCTATCCCATAGACCTATATGTCCTAAGCATAATCACGCAGTAGTCAACATGCACATTCTATAGTGCAGTATTTCTTAAATTACAATATAAAGAAAGATCGAAAAACAACCGTCGATAACGAGTTAGACAAAATAAACAGATAAAATTACTGTTTGGTTTCAATACGACCGTGTCTTGCGATACTATGCGTTTTATTTATTTTTAAATGGTTTTTAACAACGGCACGACGACATTACAGATATCATACATTACTCTACTATATCGACTACTACGCAATGCCACAATGCGAATCGGGCACATAAAGTCGTCTTACGACGTATAGGTCTATAGAAAACTTATACGTTCGCAATGCGAATATATCGTTGCCATTCTTTTTTCTAATATATAATAAAAATACATTACGATTTATTAAAAATTAAAATATGTGCTTAAAATTTTAAGTTAAAAGACGTTTTTAATTTGATACCTTTCAATTTTTATTTCAATAAATTTATGGCTTCAATATTTTATTATTAGAATTTACCTAGTTTCTTACAGGTGAAAAAAATCTACTACCCAAATTATGTTTTCAACTACCAATTCGGGTTCTACTACCCGTTAAAATAAGCCCTGGATTGGCGTCAATAACTTATGTAAGTGTAATATAGGTCATTATTTTGTTAAACTGAAAACAAAGCATTTTTGTAATGTTTGGTTTAACAATGAATTTCTTGATCTATTATTACAAAAATATAATATAGTCTATTATTTGTAAACCTAGAAGTAGAACACTTATGTAATGTTTAGATTAATAGTAATTCCCCAAATTATTGTTACTAGACCAAGAAGTAAATATTTATAAGCCTTTTTGAAAATGATTACTATATGAATTTTATAAAAAGAAAAACAAAATATGTTATTATATAAGATGAAATGGCATGAATTGAAAGGAAGAGAGAGAGAAGACCTCGGGAGTACCGAAGGTAATCTCTTTCCACGTGGTACGTTTGTGACTTTAAGTTTTCATTTTGTGTATTATTTATTTATTCTGTTTTAAATGTATCAATATTTTATATGTTTTATTTTGATTGATTATATCTTTATTAACTACATTTTGCGTTATTATTGAACTACTATAACTATAAGTTAGAACAAAAAGATTGTTCCATATATTAAATACAACATAAGGATCATGTGGACCAATAATAATACTTAACCTAAAATAAAGTATATAACCTTTAAATGATTAATGAATATGTTATAATGCAATTGTAGTCTTATGAGCTAAGGGATACAATGAAAATACTCTCTCTGGTGTTTGGGTACAATTTGATGTTATAGCCGAGCTGCCTCCTTCATGAATCACATGACTTGGTTATCTGAGCCGATGAACATTCTCCATTCCATAGAATCCTCTGCATGAGACCACAGTATTTTAAAACTGTAAAATAGTGTCTACATTCTTCACAACAATAATGTGGGTTATATTTGAGAGCACAATTATGAGCAGAGCACTCATAATTGTATGAGCTAAGATATTAATTATCTACGGTGTGTAGTAGTACGTAGAGCATGTTAAAACAATGGATGAGCTTGCAGGTTATTGAGAACACTCACACATATTTTAAAACCACAGAAACGTTAAAATGCACTGAAAACAGCAACAGCAGCTGATAACAACGGTACAAGTGGGTATTGCACCATATCCAGTATTATCAACTAAAGATGAACATGTACTAGATTGATAATTCTTTGAGGCCGATAACTCAAACAGTAATACTGTTTTTTTTATCAGATTAGATTTAGTTTTAACTGATTATTGTTACCTGTTCATAGTCATAAGGTTATCTATTATATAAAGTATGTCAGTATATTCACTTCATGGTACAATATACTGATAGTTGTTATCTTTACACTGAATATTACTGTTACCGTATTTACCCGACTACTGTTTTATTTGTTAAATCCCCTAAAGCTTTAATTTAACATATGCTTAACGGATGCAGTATTTCCGGAACATTTTCAGAAGTTATATGAAATTTTAAGAAAAAAATGTATACAAAATGTCGAAAATTTACCGATCTTAAAAATAGTAATTTTTGGGTGATTTCCTCCTTTTTCCAGGGAACAAAGGAAATTTTTTCAATTTTTGAGAACAATATCTTTAATTAGATTCAATTTCTAATCTTGTGACGTATGGTTGAAAGAAATCGGTCTGGTGAATGTTGAGAAAAATTTGTGACAGACATAAAAAAGAAAAAAGATACCATAGTAAAATTAATACCTTCTCAGCTTCACCTTGGATCTAATGATTCATATAATGCAAATGTTTTCATTAATAATTGTTCATCTTCTCTTGTCCAAGTATATTCGATATACAATTTCGCCAATATGTTTCTGAATGCTAAGAAAAAATATTATTAATTCATAAAAAGTAACTAGATATCAGTTTTTAATTTAATATTGGAATAATTCAACTTGATAAAAAATCTTTTTATCAATTATAATTTTTTCGATATTCCCTATAATTTAAAAATATTATAGATAATAATAAAAATAAGCAAGAATGAAAGACATTTATAATATATTTTAGCCATATGACTTTGATTTTCTGGTTAATAATGAATCAAAAGTTATTTTACTAATATATCATGTATTGTAATATAGGTCATTATTTTGTAAAACTGAAAGTAAAGCATTTTTGTAATGTTTGGTTTAATTGTAATTTTTTGATTTAGTATTACAAAATATTATATAGTCTATTATTTGTAAACCTAAAAGTAGAACACTTTTGTAATGTTTGGATTAATTGTAATTCCCCGAATTATTGTTAATAGACCAGGAATAAATATTTATAAACATTTTTGAAAATTATTAAATTATGAATTTTATAAAAAAGAAAATATTATAGTATATAAGACGAAATGGAATGAATTGAAAAGGGGGGAAGAGAGAACCTCGGGATCACCGGAGGTAATCTCTTATCGCTTATGACATTAAGTTTTCATTTTGTGTATAGTTTTATTCTGTTTTAAGTGTATCTTTATTTTGCATGTTTGACATTGTTTAATTATATCTTTAATGATTACATTTGCGTTATAATTGAACTATTATTACTATAAATTAAAACAAAAAAGTTGTTACTTATTTTAAATACAACAGTTTTTAACCCAACAGTAAAAAAATGCCATCTTATATATTTTTTATATTAAAAATTCTTCTTCAGTATTCAATCCTGAGATTGGTTTGTAGCAATTCTCCACTCTTCCCTGTTACTTGCTTTCCTCTTTGTCTCTTCATAAGAAGTACATCCTTGGTCCTCTATTATTTGTTGCATATATTCCATTCGTGGTCTTCCCCTAGCATTTTTTCCTTCCACGCAGCCTTCTATAATCAATCCTAGCAACCCACCATGTCTCAATACATGTCCAATCCATTCATTTCTCCTTTTCTTGATACTGCTCCATAAAGTTCTTCTCTCGGACATTCTTTCTAATACTTCCTCGTTTGTTACCATGCCCGTCCAACTTATTTTGAGCATTCTTCTGAAACACCACATCTCGAAAGCTTCTATTCTTCTTCGCTCTTCTTTGGCAATCGTCCACGTCTCACTGCCATACAGCATTATACTCCATACGTATGTCTTCAGGAGATATATTCTGGTACGTATGCTAATATTTTTTGAAGTAAAAAGTCCTCTCTTTTTGTTAAATGCTATCTTAGCTTGGCATATTCGCTTTACTATTTCTTTTTTACTTCTGCCATCCTTACTTACTATGCTTCCCAAGTATGCGAACTCTTCTACTTGCTTTATTTCTTGGTTATTTTGCAGATGTATTCTTGTCGTAATATTATTGCTCCTGCTGCATACGAGAACTTTGGTCTTTTTCGTATTTATTTTCATGCTCAGTTCATTGAGCAGAGTTTCTTCCATACACCTTAGCATCCTTTGCAAATCTTCTTCATTTTCAGCTATGACTGCTATATCGTCTGCGAACCGTAGCATATCGATTTTCCTGCCATTTATCTTTATACCCAAATGTATTTTCTCTCTTATTATGTTAATTGCCTCCTGGATGTATGCATTGAATATGCTAGGTGAGAGAGTACAACCCTGCCTTACTCCTTTTCTTATGCGTGCTTCTTCCTCAGTTTCGCCAAATCGTATAACAGCTGTTTCCTTCTGGTATAGATTAAAGAGTAGTCTCCTTTCAGTGTATTCTATACCTGTTTTTTTAAGCATCTTGAACATTATTGCCCAGTTGACATTGTCGAACGCTTTTTCTATATCCACAAAAGCTATGTATGTAGGCTTATCTTTTCTAATTCTTTTCTCGATAATTATTCTTAAAGCCAGTATTGCTTCCCTTGTACCCATGTTTTTTCTGAATCCAAACTGGTCTTCTGACAATATGGCTTCGATCTTATATTCCATTCTTCTTGACATAATTATTGTCAGTATTTTTGACACATGTGTCAGCAAGCTAATTGTACGGTACTGATCACATTTGTTTGCGGTTGCTTTTTTCGGAATAGGAATAATCTTACACTTAGTAAAGTCTACAGGAAGTTTTCCTGAGTTAAATATCTCCTTTATGAGTTTAAAAAGCTCACTGCGCATGTTTTCGCCAGATTCTTTCCAAAGTTCTGCTTGGATTTCGTCAATTCCTGCAGCCTTCTTCTTTTTTAGATCTCTAAGTGCTTTATCAAATTCTTCTCTCAGTACACTATAATTTGAGTTATTATCCATTACTTCTTCATGCTCTATTTCTTGTCCCGTGAGTTCTGGTCCCTCATATAGCTGTTCTAGATACTTCTTCCATATGTTACCTTTATGTTTGTCCTCGTAAATAATTACTCCGTTGTTATCCTCTATTGCCCCCCTTTTTGGTTTATAATCGGTAAAAAAATTTTTAACTGATTTATACGCTGCATCTCTGCTACCATTCCTCATTTGTATCTCTATTTCTTTGCACTTTTCCTCTAAAAATATTTCCTTTGCTTCTTTTGACTTTCGTATTACACGATTTCTTAGTTCTCTGTATTTCCGCTGACTTTCAAGAGTAGTTCCATTCTTAAGCTTTCTTCTTTCTTCTATCATACTTGCTATCTCTGTTGTTATCCATTCTTTCCTAGGTACTGTCTTTTTATTTTCTTTCAGAGTTTTTGATGCTGCTTCTGTCACTGTGCTCTTTATAATACCCCACCTATAGTTTATATCGGTTCTCTCATTTATATTTATATTGTTCGTAAGTTCTTTAAACTTATCATTTGCCTTTTCTTCTTTTAATTTATTTATTTGCCATCGATCATTTTTTCTTGTTGATACTATTTTCTTGAGCTTTAGGTTACTTTTCATCATTAATAAGTTATGGTCACTATCTATGTCTGCTCCTGGGTAGCTTCTGCAGTCTTTTACTTGGTTTCTAAATCTCTCCTTGACCATAATATAATCTATTTGATATCTACCTATGTCTCCCGGCATTTTCCATGTATATCTTCTTCTTGGATGGTGATTGAAGTAGGTATTTGTTATTAATAATTTGTGTTTTGAACAGAAATCTATTAATCTGTCTCCTCTTTCATTTCGGTTTCCTAGACCATAATTTCCTATTATGTGCCCTAGGCTTTCTTTTCCTACTACAGCGTTCCAATCACCCATAATGATAAGATTTTCATCTCCTTTGACTTTTTCAATGACTTTTTCTATTCCTTCGTAGACTTCTTCCATTTCCTTCTCACTGCTATTAGAAGTAGGCATGTAAACTTGGACTATGATTGTATCCTTAGGTTTCGTTTCGATTTTGACTAATATTATTCTTTCATTGTACTGTACAAATCCTTTAACTTTTATCCCAATAGCCTTACTCATTATTATGCCTACCCCTCCAATTCCTGGGTTATTTTCCGCTGTTCCTGTGTGTATCAACCTATATTCCCCACTCCATAGATCTCCAGCTCTTGGCCATCTCATTTCTGATAGGCCAAGGATATCAATCTTCATTCTTTCCATTTCTATTTTCAAGTTTTCTAGTTTTCCGCATTGCAACATAGTTCTAACGTTCCAAGTAGCTATTCTTCTCCAATTCTTAACATTTCCTTCTTCTCCAGTAGTCCCCACCCGGAGATCCGATCGGGGGACTATTTTACCTCCGGAATATTTCACTTTAGAAGATTTCATGTTATTGCTATTTCTTGGGATGATTTATACGGTGGTCTCCCCTTGCCTTCCGTATCGCAGTGCAGCCACCAGTTATACAGTTCCCGTATCTGCTGGCTGCTGTTTGGTGTGTAGCTGTTTCTACCATTCTAGGTTACCTGCACCTACACCCAATATTGTAGTAGCTGCTGCCCTACTACAAGTCCCTTTCAGTCGCTTTTTACGACAGGCAGGAACAACCGATGGTCTATTCTAACCCCGACCAACAGGGGGAATTAAAAATTACGTAAATAAAAATAATGCGTATAATTTTATTTATTAAAATTAATTTTATATGAAGTGAAATTAGAAATCCTTATTACAAATTAAGGTGTAATAAGATCATCACGTAAAAGTGAATTTTAATAACATTTGATGGCATATGGGAATCTATTACAAATGGTTCCATTTGTTTGGCTAAATTAAATTCATTAAATTAAGTGGCCATTAACCATCAATCTTGAATTTATGAAAACTTTTTGAAATATATCAAATTTGCCTTAGATGGGTTGTAAAAAGTCTATAAGTCTAAAAAATTATACGTAATATATATATTACCTTGAGCGCTGATATTTTGTGCGTCTGTTCTTTCAACATTTATTAATTCAATAGCTCTTTCATCCGAGATATCAAGTTTAAAAGCTGATAAAGCTTCTTTTAATACTTCTATAGTCATCTTATGTTGGTGGGTATATCTATTATAATATTCATTTATTTGAGTCTCAATTTTTTGTACAACACATGTCGTTTGTAAAACAAATTGTTCCTCGTTCATTAATCCGTCTACTTTAGAAGTAAAATTATGTGTTATCAATAAATTTTTATTTAAAAGTAAAGTGGTAATATCAATATTTTTATTATTAATAATCAATGGCCGATATTTATATATCACTTAATATAATTAGTTTATTATAATATTATAAATAATAATTTATACCGGAAATAGTTTTTTTTATTACTTGAAAATCTAATAATACTCTTTTAGATGTATAAATTATTATATTGATTAAATTGTAAATACAGAGTGACTTCTTTATCATAACCCATTCAATTATTTACAAAATAAATATAATTTAAACATTTTTTTTTTGGTTATCTTTAATTACACATTTTTCTTAAATTATTAACTATACGGTACTTTTCAAAATATTTCCTTATGCCTTGTAAGAGTGTCAACTTTGTTTTTTTTTAATGGCAACACTTATTTTGAATTTAATAAAATGTTTGGATTTTTAATTCAATATTAAATGGCATTTGAATTTATAATATAACTTTATTAGTTTATTAGATATAAACATATAATGTTTCAAATTTTTAGTTATTATACATTTATAATACACAAAGGATTACAAATACAAGTAGCTAATTGGTTTTTTATGACATCACTGTTACAGACACGTAGTGTTTATGGTCAATTATGACTATCAATCAATGGTGGCTTTTGGGTGCATATGGTGAGGATACGTAATAATTTTTAAAATAAATTACCCAATATTGTAATATACTAATATTTTACTGTATGGACGATGCTGGCAGCCGTCCAAACCCTGCTCATGTGTGTATGCGTATTCGCATATTCTAAGGGAAACAACTTTAATGTTCACACACGACATATGAATAATAACTATTTAATTATTTAAAAATTTGCATTTTTAATAATAATGTCGAATTAAGAATATACAATTAATTTTCTTCTTTTGATTAATTTTAGTCGGTGGTACGATCGTCCCGACGTCAAAGACACTTGCCGCCACTGCTATTAATAGATATACTTTTTGTATATCCAGTTAGTGTATTTATTATAATAAACTCACAACAATGTGCCTTACCAAGATGGATAAGAAATGCTGTGTACCTACGAATATCGATGTCATAAAAAATCAATTAGCTACTGGTATTTGTAATCCCTTGTGTACTATAAATTTATATTAACTAAAAATTTGAAACTTTAAATGTTTATATAAATGGTGGTTTCTAAAGCAAAAGAAATTCCTTTAGTGAGGTTAGAAATAGATAATAATTTAATTGAACAGGTTCAACAATTTAAGTATCTAGGAAGTACGATTACTAGCGATGGTAGATGCTTAATAGAAATTAGACAAAGAATAGCCAAGGCAAAGAGAGCATTTATGCAAAAACGCAGCTACATAAAAACAAAAAACTTAATATAAAGATGAGAAAAAATTTTGTCAAAAGCTATGTATGGAGCGTACTACTATATGGCTGTGAAACATGGTCCATCAATGGACAAAACAAGAAGTAGTTGGAATCCATGGAAATGTGGACATGGAGAAGGTTGCTGAAAGTCAGCTGGACAGAAATGAAAAGTAACGTAGATGTATTAAACCAAGTAGGGGAAAAAAGAATTCTGTTAAACGCCATAAAAGAAAGAAGTGGAAAAATGTTCGGGCACCTATTAAGGCACAATTCGTTTATAACAAAAATATTTGAAGGACAAATAAATGGACACAAAGGTAGAGGTAGAGGAAAGCATATATAGAAGAAATGATAAGACAAGCTGACTGTAGTCGATACATAGACATGAAAAGACTGGCTTTTAACAGAAAAGAATGGAGAACCAGATTTGCAACAACATGGCAAGGACTTCAGTAGAGAAGAAGAAGATATGTTTGTTACTATAAATGAATGCACTGGACTTCAAAGAACTTTCATCAAAAGCAAAAATATACTTTTCTAAATCAAATTTTCGCGTTGTTTTCAAATCTGCAATTAGACTTTATCTATCAGTTCTAATTTTTTATATTATTACTAATTACATATATAAAATAATTAAAAGAAAAAAAAAATTGTTTTCAAATTATTACTGATTTGATTTTTAATATGTTAAAAATAATCAGTCCAAATTTTCATTTTTAACCTATTTTTTTGGTTCTTTAAAATTGATGAAAAATTTTTGATAAAGATTTATGAAAGTTTATAGTAAAAAAAATTGAATATATTGCCATAACTTTTAGCTCAATTACAAGTTTAAAATTGACATCTAGGCCAGTCAACAAAGGAAAAATTTCTTAAAAAATTCAACGATACGTCAAATAATTCATTTAAGTTTATGATATTTAGGTTATTACTCTAAAAAATCGAAAAAATATTCCTTATTCAAATAAAAAGTAGCTTAACTAGCTTTTTCCATACACACAATTAAAATCATTAATTTCTAATATTCTTAAAGTATTTATTGTCAAATTAGATTTGATATGATAAAAGTATTCAACTACAAAAAAAAATCATTTTACTTTGTAATTTATTAATTTTTAACTCCGTTTGTGTGTGCTACTACTAGTCTAAAATTTTTTTGTAATATTTTACTATATAAATCATAAATTAAAAAAAAAACATGATTTTTAGTTTCACCTGAATTTAACGATGGATTTTTACAATTATAATCAAATTTTATAATACGCTCAATTGAGTAAATCATTTTAACAACTTTGTTTTGTTTGGTTCATTTAGTCAAAGTAAATCATTAAAATTAATTCATTTCTGAATATTTCCATTGTAGAATCTTTTTAAACACCAAAAGTTATTAGGAAATGATTACTATTATTTCTATTTCAGTTATCTATTACGATAAATATGTAAAAAAATCGAATTTTTCTGAAAAATGTACTGCAAATAGTAATTATAAATTTTCCTGATGGCATATTAATCTTAACAATTCCATTTTTTTCTATTTAATAATATCAATTTAAAACTTGTAAGTTAAACTAAAAGTTATGGTAATAAATAAATTTTTTTTTTTATTATAAACATTCACTTAAAAGGACGAAATAAAGAAGGTTAAAAATTATTACTTTTAACATATTAAAAATCAATATCAATAATAATTTGAAAAGAATTCAATATAAAAATTATATAATATATAATTAAAAGAATTACTAATCTGGGTATAATTAAGGAAATAGAAGATGATGTTGCTTGTAATTATCCATCATTTTTTTAGAATTAAACACTATCTACTGATCTCCATTGAAGCTTTTCTTATGATAGTGATTTTAATCACTGTCACATTAAATCTATACTGCACCCAACTATGCAACGACCCTACTATGCCACGAACCCACTGTAATGGGTTTTTTTTTTTTGGTTTTCTTTAGTTACATATTATTCTTGAATTATTAACTATTTAAAACTTTTTAAGTTCATACCTTATGCCTTGTAAGGATGTCAACTTTGTTTTTTTAAATGGGAACACATATTTTTAATTTAATAAAATATTTGGATTTTTAATTCAATAGTAAATGGCATTTGAATTTTTAGTATAACTTTACTAGTTTATTAGATATAAACATTTAAAGTTTCAAATTTTTAGTTAATATAAATTTATAATACACAAGGGTTTACAAATACTGGTAGCTAATTGGTTTTTTATGACATCAATATTAGCAGGTACACAGCATTATTATTATCAATGGTAGTAAGGTACATTGTTCTGAGTTTATAAATACACTATCTGACAATAAAGAAAGTATATCTATTGATAGTGATAATTGATAATAAATAATCCGTGACTGTGGCAGCAGTCTCATAAAAATCTAATTAGCTATTTGTATTTATAATTCCTTGTGTATTATACATGTATATTAGATTAATTAAAATTAGAAACTTTATATGTTTATATCTAATAAACTAGTAAAGTTATACTAAAAATTCAAATGCCATTTACTATTGAATTAAAAATCCAAACATTTTATTAAATTAAAAATATATGTTCCATTTAAAAAAACAAAGTTGACACCCTTACAAGGCATAAGGGATGAACTTAAAAAGTTTTGAATAGTTCATAATTCAAAAACAATATGTAACTAAAGAAAACAAAAAAAAAAATGTTTAAATTATATATATTCTGCAAGTAATTGAGTGGGTTATGATAAAATAATCATCCTATGTACAGGATAGAACGTATAAAACTGACATCTCATATAACTTATGATCTACATAACATTTTTAATTTTTTTTTTTAAATCAATTTTTACAATATAGAACTATATTTAAAATACGTTTTATGTTATTTTTCGCAATTATAAAAACTATTTTAAAAATTAATTTTTTTATTAAAATTTTTTTTAAGATTTTAAGAGAGCCATTTTATAGATAAGTTTTAAAGAAAAATTTTGATTCCAATAACTCTTATTTTAATTCAGTAGTTACGTTTATACAGAATTTTGAAATTTGTTAAATTTTGATTTTTTATACAATTTTTCTATGGTATCAAATGTTAGTCCATATTATGTAAAGTACAGAAGTAAACACTTATTACGTTATATTAGTATAAAATGTTATGTAGATCATAAGTTATATGAGTTTTCAGTTAGATACGTTCCATTCTGTATATAAATATTGTAATATTATATTATTACATATAATATTAGTGTATGGTATGGTGTTATCATTTGTTCATGTATGTCACATATTATGATTATACAAGATCACCAAAACAGGGTTCTCTTATTTAAAATACAAAATTACCCTTTAACTATACGATAAAATCTCCCTCTTGTAGAAATTATTAAGTAACGCCTACACGCTGGGACCCCATTTTAATTAACCAATTAGAATACAAAGCCTCAACTTCTAGGATCACGGTAGAGATCGCTGGGCTACCCCCTTCACACTATAAAAAGCCATTTTTCCCCATCTAAACCAGTTCTTTTGACGATTTTAAAATACACAAAATCTACGACACTCTACTCAAGATTTCACTCTCCGGGACTTAGTCGATTTTTTAATTAATTTGAACTTAGAATATTTTTCTTTAAAACTAAATG